GTTTCTTTAGTATAGTTGATGGGACGGGGGAATAGACAGGAGTAGGATTGTGGAATGTATTGTTGTCATTCTTTACTAGAAGCCAAGGTTGTCTTTTGTCTCTGCACTTTTACACCTGACCGGAAGCAGCATGAAAGAAGAAGATTGGATCAGGTGATGGATTGTGGGTGTGGGGACAAGATCATGAACTTTTAACTGGGTGGGATTCTGATGTAATTTCCAGAATTGGGATTTTACACAGATGTGCTAAGATGTCTGATTTATTAAATTGGAACTTTAAGGATTGTTTTGCCTTGGACTCTGATTTAATTCTACATGATACTTGGAATGCTGACATCTGCCAGAGGTGGATTTTACATTTTGTTACCACCAGTTCGCCCTCCTGCATGGGCCCTTCCACACATGCGCCCACCCTTCCTGCATATGCTTTGCTTGCATGAGCGTCTTCTGCCCATGCTCCCGGCCTCAAAAACGTGCCTAAATAGGATGGCATAGAGCCGGGGCAGGTGGAATTTCCGCTACTGGTTTGGGCGAACCAGTCTGAACCAGCTGAATACCACTTCTGGTCCCTGCACTGAAACATGTAATTGATGGGCAATCACCCAATAGATGCGAAAATGGTTTCTGGAACTCACCTCATGACTTTCTCGCACGGCAGATGTGTGCCGATTTGGATTCAGTCCCTGAAGAGCAAGCAGCTGAAACTGAGGGTAATTTCTGATTTCGTGGACAACCTGCGAAGCGACGGAGAGAAGCAAGATTGAGGGGGTCAGCTTCCTTCTCAGATGCAGCTTCCTTCTCAGATGTATGGCTTGATGGGTGTGGTGTGGCTTGGGGTGTGTGACAGGGGAAGGATACTGCAAATTCCCCATTCCCTCCCCACTCCTGGGGCCAGCCAGAGATGGTATTTACTGGTTCTCCGAACTACTCAAAATTTCCGCTACCGCTTCTCCAGAACCTGTCAGAACCTGCTGAATTTCACCCCTGATTTTGGGATTGTTATCATTTTCCAGAGAGTTTGGCACGAGAATGGAATCTTTCCACTGGAATACAATCTGGATCTTTCCCCTTGCAAGCTATGGAATTTCGAAGATGTTGGTGCAGCGTACATTGTTCCTGACATCAAACTGCTTATGCTAACATACCCAGGAGTGGGCTGCTGCAGGTTAGCATGAGTTTGGGTGATCCTCTAGCTAAGCAACTGCTTAGTTTTGCGAACCCGCAAACCCCACCCCTGGCTGGCCTCTCCCATCCCTCCCAGGAGTCTCCATGCAGCCCATTTGGTGCCAGGTGAGTACAGGGCCTGCACGGAGGCTTGGGGAGGGTGAAAAATGGGCCTCCAGGAAGTTCTGGATGGCCTCCGGAGCACAAGGAAGCTGTTTTCGCCCTCCCGGAGAGTCGAGGAAAGTCTCCAGAGCCCGGGGAGGGTGAAAAGCCCCTCCACCCGCCATGGTGCATGAGGCCAACTAGGCCATGCCCACCATGGCCATGCCCACCTAGCAACTGGGCAGTGAACCCCTTGCTAAAATGTTTGAAGCCCACCCCTGAACATACCCCTTGACTTACCATCTGTGTTGAGGATGTATTCTGGGGGAAATGATGCATCCTTTGTGGAGCTAAATAATGCTGATAATGTTGAGGAACTGGCCTGACCTGGAACTGGTTGTGACTGAGACCAGCATCGACACTCAGATCCCTAGAAGGACAAAAATGAAAATCAGTTGAAGTTTGAGTTTGCTTTATTGTCATTGTACACCTTGTACAACGAAATTAAATGCCGTCTTCGATGCACATCCTACATGAGAAAACTATAAAAATAAAACAAAAATACACCTCCTTCCCACTCTACACATTTGAACTGAAAACCCCTGCTACTGCATTAATATTGCCCTGTACGGTAGAATTCAATATAGTTATTGTTCTGGGATCGAAGCCTATTTGTCCTGGTTTTTATTGTCCTGTACGGGTTGCCGGATGGTAATAGTTAAAAAAAAAAGAGGGTGCCCAGGATGAGATGGATCTTTAAGAACTTTTGAACTTTCTTACGGCATTGGGAGATATAAAGCTCTTCCAAGGAGGGGAAGCTCCAGCCCTATGGAATGAGCTGCCCCCAGAGATCCGGGCCCTGCCCACTCTCATGGCCTTTTGCAAAGCCATTAAAACCTGGCTTTTCCGGCAGGCCTGGGGCTGTTGACCCCTTGATTGAGGTCCAGCCCCCTTTCAATTGGGTGTTTGTTGTGTTCCTTTTTTTAACTTTGTTGTGTCCCATTGTTTTTTANCTCAAGCCATGTGGTCCTGTCCACCAATAAACCATCTTTCCAAGCAGTCTCCATGCCATGTCTCCAGTGTCTTTTCCCCCACTTGGAGCTGAACCCAGAAGGACATTTCTTTCAACAGCAGTTTTCTGTAATGCTTTAAAATTAATATGCCCCAGATGCCTATGGAACAAATGTACACATTCATCATGCGGTTTAACATTTGTATACACTGAATTAACTACACGTGCATCAGGCATTACATCCCTAACATCCTTCCTCATTCCCTTTCTTTTCTTTCCTTTCTTCATTCTCTTTCCTTCCCTTTTCCTTCCTTCCTTTCCTCCTCCCTCCCTTCCATTCTTCCCTCCCTTCTTTCCTTCCCTTTACCTTACTTCCTTCTTTCTCCTCCTTCCCTCCCTACCTTCCTTCTTTCCTTCACTTTTTCTTTCTTCCTTCCTTCCTACCCACCCTCCATTTTCCTTCCTTCCTTCTTTCTCCTCCTTCCGTCCCTCCCTCCCCTCTTTCCTTCCTTTCCTTTTCCTTCCTTCCTTCCTTTCTTCTTTCTCCTCCTTACCACCCTCCCTCCCTTTTCCTTCCTTCCTTTCTTCTTTCTCTTCCTTCCCTCCCTTCCCTTCTTCCCTCCCTTCTTTCCTTCCCTTTTTCTTCCTTCCTTACTTCTTTCTCCTCCTTCCATCCCTCTCTTCCTTCTTTCCTTCCTTTGCTTTTCCTTCCTTCCTTCCTGCCCTCCCTCCCTTTTCATTCCTTCCTTCCTTTCTCCTCCTTACTACCCTCCCTCCCTTCCCTTCTTCCCTTCCTCCCTTCATTCTTTCTTCCTTTCCCTTCCTTTCTTTCTTCCTGCTTTCCTTCCCTCCCTCCCTTCTCCTCCCTTCCTTCTTTCTCCTCCTTCCCTTTCTCCCATCCCTTCTTCTCTCCCTTCTTCCTCCCTCCTTTCTTTCTTTCCTTCCCTTCCCCCCCTTCCTTCCTGCTCTCTCTCCCTTTTCCTGCCTACCTGCCTGCCTTCTGGTTTCAAGCCAGTGTTTTTTTCCCTCACTCTTCTATTACTGGCTCCCTTTCAGTGCTGTTATCTCTTTAAACGACTCCTTAGGAAGCACTAGGCCCCCAACTCTGCAAAGGGCAACCCCAGCCAGCCGAGATGGAGGGCAATCCCCACCCAAACCACCCTCACCCCCACTTAGAATTGCCAAGAGCATTTTCCAAGGCTTTTGCAGCCACCCACTCAAGATCATTCCTTTTCACAGACCGTATTCCCCGGTTTCTAAGGTGGTGGGTTCAGTTCAACCCCATTGCTAACACGGGAGTGAAATGTCTTGCTGTTTTTCTGGGTGGAAGGAACAAGAACCCTGGGAGCCGAGTGAGTCATCCCAAGGGCAGATTCGGTGCGCGACTGTTAGGTACAATTAACCCCAGGATCTCTCAGAGCAGCGGCAGGAGAGGAGAAGGGGAAACGGTGAAAAGGGCAGACCCAGCGATGTTGCTCGCCATGATCCCGAGAAGGCGGGGGTGGCTATCTTCCAAGAGCCCTGCAATGGAGGCCCCAGGACTTTGCAGATTTGACAATAAGCTACAAAAAGGCATTTCATTCCCAGGCAGAAATGGGGAATTCGGCATGAAACAAATTCAAACTCTTGAGATAAACAAAAGGCAGAAAATCAACCTCTTTCTTTCAACCTTGCCTTGCTTTCTCCCTTATCAAAAGGGACAGGCTCCACCTTTGGGGGGCAGGGAACCAACTGTGAAATGCTATGTGACTTTTAAGGTGCTATGCATGTTGATGCTACTTAACCTATAAAAAAATCATGCACACAAACACATATAGCTACCTACATGCATGCATCCATGCATGAATACTTTCTTGCATGCATACATATATACTATATATATATATGATTTTTAGCTTAGACAGATAGCAGATAGATAGATAGATAGATAGATAGATAGATAGATAGATAGATAGATAGATAGATAGATAGATAGATAGATAGATAGATAGATAGATAGATAGATANTTATATCATTCCTTGTTTCTTCAGTCGTAAACTATCTGGAATTTCTTAGTCCCATATTTATTTTGAATATAGTCAATCCATTTTCTATTTTTTCTTAGTACATAAACAATATCTTCAATTGCCCCTTCAAAAAATTGCACCAAATTTTCATTTCATATTTCTCTAATGGTCTGTTTTATTATAAACCATATATATCCTCTAGTTATGTTTTGACATAAGAGAGCATTTCTTTCCATTTTTTCTACAATTAATAATATACTATATTTTCTTTATTTCTTAATTAGCTGCATAACAATACAATCATACCAATATTCCCTTTAATCTACTAATTCTACTCTTTTTCCTCGTCTTCCTCTTTTATCCATTTTCTCTTGGGCTCTCACGAATTCCGCTTTTAATCATTTTTCATCTTCTCCCCTTTCTGCTAACTTCTTCGTTTTCTTTTTCCTGTTTTTATGGTTGTGGTATCTTTTCTTCAGAATATTCATTTTTATTATTCTGGTACCTTTCTCCAGGGTTTTCCCTGTTCCCCTCCCTCCCTTACTATCTTGTGGTTTCTTTTTTGGGGGGAAGGGGGTCTCCCCCTTTATCAGATCTTCCAAACAGCTCTTCCATGTAGGCAAAAAAAGGTTATTAGGAAAAAAAAACCTATTGAGAACAGATCATCTAAAGTGTCTGTTTTGTTGTTCAAGTGTTGTTGTTTTTGTTGAGTGACTGATAAATGAACTCTGGGAGCGTGGAACAAATTCACCTTCAGCTGAATTATTCATTAGGAGGCAGCAAAAAAAATATTTCATGCGCAGGTATATCAAAAGTCAGGCCTCAGAGACAATTTATTATATAAACTGCATTAAATGTACGAATCGGTTGTCCTTTTCTTCTAATTACTTTCTTCCTTGTTTGATGCATGGCCTTTCAACGTTTCTAAGTACGATAATATTTCGATCGGTTTAACAAGCCTTTGGGTGCACCGTGTATGTGTGTGTGTGTGTGTGTGTGTGTGTGTGCGCGCGCGCGCGTGTGTTTGTACAACACAGGCTAACACAGAGATGCGTACCAAAAACCCCAGACCCCTTAGGCTAATTGCAAAGGGATAAATAAACAGATGACAAAAAGAGATGTTTTTCTTCAGTGGAAGAAGCGCATTTGTAATCTAAAGTCCTTGCTTGTACAAATATTCCCTTTTTCTTGTTCTTTTTCCAACTGCCCCAATTTGGCTTCTGTGGGAAAGGATACAGAGAGCAAAAATCCATGAGATCAGGTGTATGCAATCCTGAAATGGATGGCATTTTCAGCCTGTTTGGATTTGAGGGACCTTGGAGGATTTTTTAGCAGTTCTTCCAAATCCCCCCCCCCC